CTTTCCTTTTTTTTCTATCTCTCTTAATAAAAATAGATTTAACCATAAGTGGCCTTAGATGCTTGTAGAAAATATGAGCTAGATCACCTTCCTATTTATTACAGCTAAATAATTGTCCCACACTATTATTTTTGTATAACCAGTCAGTTGTTTTATCAAAATAATATACTGTACAGTTCAATATTTGTTTCATAGAGTTATGCTTGATAGTATATGATGTTGCATGTCCTTTATATTGCTCAGTAATAATGTTTGGGCATGTGCTTATGGGCAAATGAATTTGCTTTTAGGCGCCTGCTGCTTGCATTTGAAATCTGCTTGAGAGATTTCCAAGCAGGGCCGCTTCTAGGATAAAGGATGATTGTTAAAAAAATCATTATATTAAAATATTTGTGGTCTACTTGGCAGCTAGCAACTATTGAAACAATAGGAGAGTGTATCATACAAGATAACATACAGAGTGCAGTGGTCCGGACTATGTAATGCCACGGTTCTCAACCTTTCTAGTGCCGCAACCCTTTGATAAAATTGCCCAAGTTGTGGCGACCACTAACAGTAAAATTATTTTCGTTGCTCCGTCATAGCTGTAATTTTGCTACCGTTAGCTATTAGATCGCGGCTACCGGCCGCCCAGGAGAGAAACACTTAGACATCGGAGCAGCCGGCCGCCGACAGTCAGAGCAAAAAAACAACAACATAGGAATGCATAGCTAGATTCCTATTGGCTATTTCACTTTGCAATATCCATTAGCAAGCGGTCTATTGCACCTGCCCTCTGCTGCTGTCAATCACTAGAAGAGGACCTGATGGAGAACTTCAGCTAGTGAAATAGCCAATAGGAATCTAGCTATGCATTCCTATGCTGTTTTTTTTTTCTTCTTTTTTTCTGACTGACGGCAGCTCCAATGTCAGAAAAAAAAGACAGAGCAGGGAAAGGTTTACTCTGCTCGATCGAGCAGAGTAAACCTTCCCGGGAGAAAGTGTTTCTCTCCCGGGCGGCCAGGAGCCGCTATCTAATAGCGGGAGACTCCCTGAGCATTTGGGAGAGTTGGGGTGTCTGCAATTACAAGTTTTACAGATTAGAATAAACAAAAGAAACACATTTCTGATGGTTTTAGGCGACCCCTGGCAAATCATCATTCGACCCACGACGGGGTCGCGACCCACAAGTTGAGAACCGCTGATGTAATGTAAAACATAGTGTATAAAATACAGGGGTCAGGAATGTGTAACATACAGCTTAAAGTATAGAGTGCAGCGGTCAGAACGATTTAAAGTATAACATTGTTTATAGAATGCAGCAGCCAGGACTATGTAGCAAATAGTGTCAAGACTATGTAATGTACAACATAGCATGTACATTGCAGCAGTGAACACTATGTAGCAGCATTTAGGACTATGTAATATGCATAGTAGAGTGTAGCAGTCAGATCTATATGACATACAGCAAAGCATATAGAGGACTAAGTAACATAAAACATGGCAAATGGTGTGCAGCCATGAGGGCTATATAGTGTATGAGGTGTTGCATTCAGAACTATGTAGCATACAACATAGTGTGCAGCAGTCACAGTGTAGGGGTCTGAACTACTGTGTATAATTTGCAGCACAACTCTGAGTGCAGTGTTCAGGAGTAAGTGTTCCCTTGTGTTGATGGTCAGTGGCAAGTGTCTCCCTTCAAATGCTAACAATTAGTGCTGTGCGTGGCCCATTACTTTAGAGTTAAGTGGTTAGTGTGCCCTTTTGCTTTGGTTGTCAATGGTGTGGGTGCCTCCATTACAGTGGTCACAAGTGTGCCCCCTTTACATTGTGGGTCAGTGTGCAACTTTCACATTGCTGTTCAATATGCCTTTCTCTGAGCTTTATCTAGTTAAAGGATATCCTTCCTGAGGAATGGTGACCAGAATTGAACTGCACACTCAATTAAAACGGAACTTCATACTTCTTTACACATGAAAGATCCAGACTTACAGGCTACAGCTAAAGACATGTAATAAGTAGACAGACACGCCTAAACAAAACTTTCCAGGACACAGACCTACTACATAGAAAGTGAATCCATTTAACTTTTTTCTAATGTATAACAAAAAAACAGCACACATCTTCCCCATATATTCACAAATGTTTAGAGGGACGACCTGTATTTTTTTTTATAAATTAGGTGGCTTACAGGGCTGCTGCTGCTGCGGAATTCATTGTTTGTATTGTGTTGGGTAATGATATCTTTTATTGTGCACTTCCATATCTACTTATAAACTGATTGATTGGCTTACCATTTCCTCAATTTACAAGGTTACAGATGGTCAGTTCAGATTATATTGATTTGTGACACCTACAGGCTTTATTTCAGTTCTAGATAATACTAGATTTTATGCAAAATCAATCAACAGGGCCTTGCTGAAAAGTCATGTCATCTGAATTGAGAATATTGTTTCTGAAAGTCATAGATGAATTGTTAGAGAATATGACAGTGGGGAACTGTGGGGGGTGAGGGGGGGGGGGAAATCATATTGGGAATGGTTACCAGATTTTCAAAATTAAATCTGGGAACATTCTCCTGACCATGCCCACTTTTAACCATAGCCACAAATCAGACATCCCATTTGTATCCACACTTACACGCCCTTGTTTTTAACATGCCCTCAAACAATTAGTAACAGACTTTTGGAGCAAGAGGCAGACATTCAAGATACTGTATAAAGACAAAATAACAGAAGTATAAATACAAGACACTAATATAAGCATGCATAGTTAGGAGGGGCACATTGAAGGGATTACGAAAAATGCCAAAAACCTGGAGGCACGGCCAGTAAAGTGGGCATCACTTCAAGGTGTTAGGGCTTCTAGTGTGGGAATAAAAAATGACCACAGGCACAGGTATAACTGACTGCAATGACAGCCTCCATGTTTTTTTTTCTGGTGTCCCCCATGCACCCTGCATCCTCCAGAATCCCTCACCATACACCCAGCGACAGGATGGTGTCATGTACCAAATTAGAGAGGCACTAGATTCACCCGTAATCCTCTCCTATACAGGGTGAGGGGCTCCATGATGGTTGTCTTATAGGGAAAAAATTATTTGCAGTTTTCTCTGGGCTTAGTAAATTATGGATTGGGTCCTGGACCTTGGTGGCTTAGTAGAGTACTACCGGTAGGTAGGTTGGAGCCAACAACCCTGGGTCGATTTGGTGATAACTTTCGCAGTCTGGTGTGCACATATGTCATAATATGAGTACTGACTACTAGTGCTCAGGATTCCATCTAGGAGTCAGGGTGGGATCCAGTGCAGCAGCCATGAGACGAAGTGCACTGTCTGGAGGAAACAGACAAGGGCTTAGGTCTGAGGCTAGAGCAGCGGCACTTCAAGTGGAAGGCAGGAGACTCAATGTGTTATTTTTGTGAAGAGAGTTGCTGAAGAACCCCTGGGAGGGTAACTGTGCTGTGTTTTTTGAGAACTATCTTTTAATAAAAGTGGACAAGGAAGCCCTAAAAAGATTTTTTTTTCTAGTGGATGCATCCTTAATATTCTTACCATTTAAAACGAATTCCCAGACCCACTGATACACCCTGCACCCTCCGGAATCCACCCCCATCATATACCCTGTACCCTTGACAATCCCCCACCATACACCCTGCACCCTCCAGAATCCACCCCCCATACAACCTGCACCCTTCAAAAACACCATCATACACCTTGCACACTTCAGACCCGCCCTCCAGAATCCCCCACCATACACCCTGTACTATATGAACTTATATGAGTGCATAAATTATACTGTACATGGCTGTTTCTTGGCTCACTGGTAACTGGCTGAGCCTGGTTCTCCAGCGTGATATGGCAGTGTGCATCCATTCCTCAGCCTCCCTCTTCTCTTTCCTGGGCAACATTCAAAAAACAGCAAATGGACAGATGTCACCCCTATATATGGCGGGTGGAGAGGCAGCTTTTCAACTAAGCAGTTGCCCCTGTTGGGTTGGCACTGGTGTGGTATGATATTTACACTACACCACTGGGCGTCCAGGAATAATGTCAGGGAAGCTTGTTTCCTGTAGGCAAACCCCTCAAAACAGGGACAAGTGGTAACAATAATATTGGGCACAGAGTTTTGCTATTTAGCAAATTTAAGGTTTTAAACATAGTTTACTCAGCACAAAGTGGACAATGTAACATATTTGTCCTGGAGTTTAGTATGTTCCCATTAATGTCCTATAAGAAGGCCCTATTGTTAAAGAATGAATGTATTAGAACAGATATCAGTACAGTGCAATTATAAAAGAAAAGAAACTTCAAAATGTCAGCAATGCAACAATGTACAGAAATGATCAGATTTATATCATCCTAATTAAAGTATTTTTATATCATTCAGGGGCTTCTAGAAGTATAAGTACTTAGGGGTTTTTTTTTATTAGAGTGCTGCTAATCTTTAATACATAAAATGATTTAAAGAATGAAGAATTGGGTCACAACACTCATGCCAGTAAAAGGCAGAAAGTATTCTGGATGTAGGTGCTATTTATCTGGAATGTCTTAACCGACCACTAGATCTATCACTATTTATATAATATTGTTATTTGTTTTATTACTGTTTTGTTTCCTACGGTGCACTTGTGATTTTGCTTTGCAATACAGTTTTTTCCTTTATGGTTTTAATATGTTAAAGAAAAGAAAACCAGAACAAAGTAGCTGATAGTAAACAATCTGGTTTAACCTTTTGTTTATTGGGCTGACTGATAAATTAACTACAGGTGGCTCTACAGTGTCACAAATTAGGGGGATGTTAATGGTACTAGGAGGTGAATGGTGTCTCAATCCAGGTCTCCATTCTAATATGGTCATTTTGGAGAGGAAAAGGACCCATTTACTGCTAAAATAGAAACCAGTACCACGTTGGTGTTTTTACATCGACAACCTACATTCATAAAACATTCCTGTACAAAAAATTAAAAAATAAATAAATATTGTTTTCATCCTTTTTATCCTGTAGATTCAGTAACAAGGGAAACCACACTAGAAAAGAAGTCAGTAAATTCAGCAGATGTTGAGGATCCAGGATCAGCAGAGGTAAAACACTAAACTAGCAACCAATAACACGTTAATAAATTCAAATTCTTGAAAAAAACTTGGGAGTAATAGAGCATGGTACATGACCCATCAATCATGTGACCAGCTTCTCCACCAATTACTAACTTCTCGCTAACGTTAAGCCCTGAGAGAACTCAGCGGGACACCACAGGCTCCACACCTCAGCCTGCATTTTATGAATGGCACTTAACTTGCAAACCACGGTGTGGAGTAAAGACTACAGTGTATATAACAAATAAACATTTCTAGACATATACCTAAGTGAAAATGTTAATATTTCTTAAGCGTTTTAGCAGCTATCAGCTTTAGGGCCCGTTCATACCCGCTGGTGGGCAGAGCCTGAGACAGTGCTGATGTGCCGATCCCAGCAGTGTACTTTTTTTATTTACACTTTATTGAAATGTCACTTGTGACAATTAATTAAGTCCTGTGGGCACGGCGTGGTTCAAGGCAGTTGTACTGCATTGTATCCTGCTGCGTAAAAAGAAAATACTGTGTGCAGTAGTTTCTTTTTCTCAGGGCACACCTCCACGTTCCACCGCAACACTGTGGTGTGAATGATGTCCATCCATGACAAGGCAAATTGCCTTGTCTTGCATTGGGGCTGCACTGAAATAAAGCAGCCAGTGCAGTTCCAACGCATATGGTGTGAATTCGCCCTTACAAAAGACTATGGGGGTTACTCATGTAGGAGCCGAAGGATCCAGCCGTAGCTTCGGCTGATCCCTTCGGCCGTCGGAGCTCTTCGTTTCAGCTGAACCGAAGGGCTGCTGTACAGCCTATTCACTATAGCCCGTACAGCAGCCGAAAGCGGCCGAGCAGCTCAGCCGAGCCGAAGGCTGACTCTGCCCAGTTGTAATGACAGATCACGTCCCCAAATGCCTGGGGATGCTGAACTGTCAGTAAACAATAATAACTATGACATCACGGCCGGCTCCGCCCAGTTGTTCATATGCCGGTACCTGCTAGGAGACTCTAGCAGGTGCCGGCCAATAGGAAACATTTGGGCAGAGCTAGCTGTCACTGCTAGCTCCACCCAATTTGTTTTTGTATATATATATATATTTTTTTTAATCTTTCTTTTTTAATTTAACTATTTATTTACATTTTTAAACTATTTTAAATGATTTGCTATTCTGTTCAGTACCACAGAGGTACCGAGCCGAATAGCCGAGCCGAATGCCGCTCGGCGGCATTCAGCTATTCACTCACTGCTGTTCAGCCCCTATATGAATAGGGGCGAATGGCAGCAAGCGAGCTGCCGGAGCTTCGGCTCAGCCGATCCAGATGTTGGATCGGCTGAGTCGAAGTCCTTCTGCACTTCATGCAGAGTATGTTCGGCTGACTGAAGTGCAGCCAATGGCATCCGATGTATGGGTGATTTTAGCCGATGTACGGCTGATATCAGCCGTACTGAGCCGGTGTGAATAGCTGAATGTTGTTCGGCTCACTTCACTTCGGCTGGGTTATTCACTCGGCCCCTTGTGAGTGCTGCCAGCATCAAGCTGTGCACAGTGTAGCAAGACCCCTTCCCTAGCAGTGGCTTAAAGGAATATTTGAACCCTAATAACAGTGCCACATTGTGTGCAATTGCAGTGTAAGCATTTTAAAGCGTGTGTCCTGTTCACATTCTCTGCACTGCGCACAGCAAATCAGCCTCTTTAAAAGGCTATCTACATGACCCCTAAGAGTTTTGCAATAAAAGACATGTGTTAACTGAATGACCTTATTCAAACCGAATGTAATTTATCATCAGCTGGAGGTCCTATAACTGGCTAACTGCTATTTAATAAGGGTAATAACTAACAATGTTATGCAATTCAATTGACAACAAGAAATGTGTCACTAATTGGCATGCCAACCAATCATGTGGCACTTTCCAGGGACTTTAAACACACAGAAATTGAAGAACAGTAATTAAGAGAATATTTTGAACTCCCTGTGCATGGTGTAAGAACTGATGCTGTTCACTGTGATGTTGGACCTCTAGGAGATGGAGAGATGATTGCACTGCCCTCACAGAGGTATATGAATCACTTGTGATTCCATTGTGAAATGTTTTATTGCTATGATAATCTCTTTATAATGTATATATGGGAATTATAGTTAGAATACAGATAATTATGTTCTCTTTTGCTGTTCTATATAAGCTACAGGATGCTTTCTATGTTTCCTATTTAGATTACTTTAAATGTTGAAGAATATTCCCTAAAAGATGCCAGTGAAGATCTTGTGAGCTGTGATTTCTGCCGAAAGCCTAAGAAGCCTTTTCCATCAGTAGAACAAGTCATTTCCAAACCTTCTGTCACGGTAAAAGTCTAGTGTTACCAGTTCTGACATCTGTGCTCTGTACATTCATTTAAAATGAAAGAATACCATTTTAAAAAAAAACCCAGAAAATAAATTGGTTGAGTAAGTAGCACAGGATTTAAAGGAGAACTATGAGGTGAGTGCTTTTCACTCACCTCATAGTTCTAGCCGACCTGTGACAATGAGACTGTCACAGGTCGGCTCAGTAGATCGGGAGGTGAGCGAACACATACCGGGTTCGCTCGCCTCTCGATCCTGTCACGGCTCTCTGCCGTGACAGGGGGTGGGGCTGGATTCCCCTCTCCCCGCTCCGATCTGCGAGCGCTGACTGGCGGAACGGACGGGGGAGGGGGCGGATACAGCTGGCTCTGCCTCTAGATAGGCAGAGCCAGCTGTCACTCACGCAGCTGGGCGGATCCCGTCATCTACGTCGGGATCCGCTCCGGCTGAGGCGTCTCAGTATACCGCGAGCTGTAGCTCGCAGTATACGGAGCTTAGGGTAACGGGAGGACGCTAGTTTGTGTCCTCCCGTTAGCCTAAGGAGAACTATGGGGAAAAACACTGACCCAATAGTTCTCCTTTAATGTGAGTGCATTTATATAAACTATATTGAGGTTAGTAACATTCAAAATATTTATCTTGTTTCGCCTACATTATGGGAACTGATAAACAAACAGGTTTCTTCAGTACCTCAGTTGAAAGAGCAAAAACAATTGGGTTGGTTTAATAAAGTAGCAGAGCATGTTCACTACTTAAAGTGAATTTTGCTGACTACAATTATCCAATCTTGTGCAAGCATTTTTTTTTTTATTTTAAGAGAATTTTCACTTCACCTTGTTTACTAAACTAAGTGAAAATTCACTTTTCAGATGAAACATTTCTTAGATGTTAACCCCAATGTGTAGATGTTCTTAACTGTAGCAAACAGTCGTATTTCCGTTTACTGAAAATCAATGATCTTTTCCCTAATTAGTAAATCTGAAAGCTTGATACTATTAATATAAACCTTTTTTTCTACTGCAGTAAATGTATTAATCTTCTGATGTAAAATTAGCACAGTTAATTTATTTCAGTCCATGCATTTCAGCATACTTTTGTATTTTTCTGCAATGCCCAGAAATCCTTAAAGGAGAACTATGAGATGAGTGAAAATCACTCAGCCTCATAGTTCGAGCCGACGTGTGACAATGAAACTGTCACACGTCGGCTCAATAGATCGGGAAGTGAGCGAACACATACCGTCGCTCGCTCACTTCTCGATCCTGTCCCTGCAGAGAGCTGTGACTGTCACTCACGGCTCCCTGCAGGGATTCCCCCCCTCCCCTGTCCGATCCTCCAGCGCTGACTGGTGGAACGGACGGGGGAGGGGGCGGGTACAGCTGGCTCTGCCTCCAGGTAGGCAGAGCCATCTGTCAATCACGCAGCTGGGTGAATCTCGACAATAATGTCGAAATCCGTCCCGGCTGCGGCGGTTTCAGTATACCGCGAGCTGTAGCTCGCGGTATACTGAGCTTTGGGTGACGGGAGGACGCTAGTTTGTGTCCTCCCATGACCCTTAGGAGAACTATGGGGAAAAACACTTACCCCATAGTTCTCCTTTAAGTAAAATTATATTTCAAGGTTTTGAAAAACAATTTTTGTATCAATCTTTATTTTATTGAATATGCTGTTGTCTTTGCATTGAATAGTTATTTAGAAAAAAAAAGGTAAAATTACTACTGTCATCAAATAACTATGGAGTATACTGCATTTGATAGTCATTGCTGTATGTTGCGTGGAAGGTACCCATAGAAATAAATGGATTGTCATCTGATCCAGCTAAAAACATTTATATGTCTATGGGCTATCCCAAAGCTCTGCAAAAATGCTGGCTTGACCAGTCTTGGCACAAGACTCAATAAGAATGTATGTTCCCAGCTAATTGACACTATTGTTCCCCTGAGATATACGTTTCCACAGAAAATAAAAGTACATCCTGGTGCAACTGTGATTGTTCTACAGAATGATCCATTCTGCATGAAACTTGCAACTGCCTTCTTATATTTGTAACAATAGGCAAATTGATTGAGAGCGCTACTACTGTGTGAAAATCACTCACGTTTATGATGTCACTGTGTCCCAGGGAAATCCTCTGCAAACACTGTGCAGAAACGTAGTATTAGCCAGGGTGCAGGGTGTGATGAGAGTGGAGTGGGTGGATAGGTGCATAAACAGACCTAGGCTGGCACTCCTGTCAGGTGCTGTGGGCTACGTGGGCTCAGTGTTTGATGGATGCAGTGGGTCTCTGCTAATGGAGAATGGACGAAGTTGGCGGCTTCAAGTCCATTCTCCATTAGCAGAGACCCACTGCATAATCCAAACATGAACAGTCACTCAAGGCAACCGTTTGTGTTTAAGGATGTCACAACGAGCAAAGATGCCAGAAAGTTACATAGTTACATAGTATTTGAGGTTGAATAAAGACACATGTCCATCAAGTCCAACCTATTGTGTGTGTGTGTGTAAAGATCCCCGAGTCATCTCGTTTTTAGGAGTACTTGTACCCCTGTATATTACCAAAAGTGTTCAAAATATGCATATCATGAGATAAATATGGAAGCTTCCATTGCTTTGCACTTTCTAGTTGACTGGAACAGGGCAATTCTTGAAGAAAATCAGTTTTAGTCTGCAAGTCATAAACTTGGAACAAGTCCTTATATGATTGGTTAATCAAAGTACTGATGCAAGAGGATCAACATATAGTCAAGCAGATAGCAGTTTCAGGAGGAGAACTCTGCAGTGGCAAGCTCCATATTTCTCTCATCACATGATTCCTTCAGGTTCCACATCAGTACGATGAGGTAAAACTGTGCATCACTGTCAAGAAGCAGGCATGGTTCTTGGGATTAAGCAGGATTTAAATTTATTTTTTTCCTATCAGATCAGTAGCTTATCAAAGGGGTTCAAATCATTTTGGCCCACTCATCAGAACATAAACCTTTTTGTGTTGACATTTACCCCATGCCAGTCCCACAAGCTCCAATTCCTCGGTGTGGGCAGACTCAGATGTAAACTGCAAACTGTAAATGATTTGAAGGAGTTGGTGTTCTCAAATTGCATTGTGGTCATTTTCTGTGTACAGATTAGAATTGGTTGATACCTTATGGTGGTTTTACTTTAATATGTAATTCAGAAATATTTTAAAATGTTTATAAGTAGGGATGTTCAGATACCTATACTTGGCATTTTCACGAGAACTACCAGGGTTGCAGCTGTGGCTGGGCCCTTGCACTCAATCACTGTCCTGAAATCATTAGTCTGTATTGTTTTAGAAAAACTGTCACATGACAATAAATAAAAGGTATCAGTACTTGTATCTGTGAGGACTTGGACAAGTATCAGTACTTGTATTTGAAACAATGGTATGGGTTATATATATTTATAAAAAAGAAAATCATACATTAAAACAGGGATGCACAAATCCCAGGAGCCCTGTACACTCCTTAAAAATGACAGCTGCCTCCTAACTTAACTTTTCTCTAGTCTAGTCTTGGAGCTGGAAAAGTATCTGTACTTGTACAGAGTACGGTACTTGGTATATGAACATCCCTATTTATAAGACCTGGATAATCTCTTAGAGGATTAGAGTGTGTACTATGTAAGTAGAACAATTCTTCCCTGTGCCTGAGCTGTTTATTTTGAATTGTCTCCTCTTATTTCTCTATTGTATCTAAGGACTAAGTGACACAAAATATTCTCTTGGATCAGTTATTTAACAGAGGAAGTTCTGATGATGTGATTATTTTCTTGAAGTCATCATAGCTGCCCATTATACCGTATTTTTGCCATGTACATTTTTATGTGTTATCATAAACAAAAACATTATTGTTTATGCTTCCAGCCATTTTGTTGAGTTAAAAGCAAGTAACTACATCAATTTAGGATCATGTTGATGTGGTTATTTCCTTGAAGATCTTTCTTGTAAATGCTGTTTCTGGAGAGGGACACATTATACTTTTCTACAGTAATCTACATTTTAATTTGTTGTTATAAACATTACATATTTTTTTGCCACTAGCTATTTTGTTGTGTGAAAATCCAGGAACTATTTCAGTTTCTGATTATGGATACCATCAAGACCTATGCACCAGAGGAAACTTATGGAAAAAATGAGATTTTAACAAAGGAAGCTCAAGATAAAAATGAAATTAAAGAAAAGGAATTTGAAGAAAAACATAGCGATGACTCTCAATCAACAACGCCTCACATCTCTGATGAGATGAAAGCCCTGAACACTCTAAGAGAAGAGTAAGTAGAACAGGAGGTAATGGATACCCTATAATAACTATAATACAATACTTTCTACTATTCGTAATGAAACTACATTATGAACACAGACCTGTTATACATTATTGACAATAATATTGGATTTCCCAGGCTTTTCTAACTGGCAGAGGATGGGATGTATTAGATTGATTTTTAGAATTTACTGAGCAGAGTTAGGGTAGCAAAGTCTGTGCTACTGTATACCTGGATTTTGAAATGTTGTTTGATAGTCAAGCCAGAGCCATTGTTATGGGGAGCCAGCCTAATGATTTACACCAAAATTAATTACATGCACCCCCCTCTCTTATCCTACTTGCATTATTTGCTATTATTTATTGCATGGTAAGTGAGCCCACTCATTAAAGTTACAATGTCCCCTTTCTGGTGAGTGTCTGGTGCCAGCTCTTAGTCGAGTAGCAAATGTGACCCCTACCAACTCTGTGGAACCTGTCCCTTCTTTCTGCAACAACATACAGACATAACGAATTATACTGTAGCTATCCCCACCAGGCAAACACTATTGAGTAAACTCACAGGCAGGGTTTACATACACTGAACAAACCGGTAGACCTTCACAATGACATGGCATTGTTTATTGCCCATAGAATGTAACAACAGATGCTAATCCATTTGATCATGATCCATGACCGTTTCTAACATAGAAAGACTGGGTCTTGCAGGATCCTCTATAAAGGCAGGCAGCAGAAGCAGTTATCAGGTGTTGTAAGAAATCAATTCTCTGATGACAGGTCCAGTGCCCAAATGTGGGAAAGGAGGTCTGGTATATCCATCCGTAGCTTGACTTGTCCTGTACCTTGCAGCCTGACGGCACTTGATCATTGCTTCTGCTGTTTGCTTCTATGTCATCTAGGACAGTGGTTCAACAGTAAATGCATTTTTGTTTATATTTAGCTCTTAATGTTTTCTCATTTGTAAAGCAGGAAAGCAAATTGTTAATAAAACAATAGCTATAATACAAAACTCAGAATAGATTCCTGAGTGTATTCCAATGTGAATACACTTAATAAGCAAAAGCTATTTTAAAGCGCAACTCAAGGCAGATATAAAAGACATAAATTATTGCAGCTCTGTATTCATAATACATTTTTAATACAGTCAGTGTAAGTACCCTAATTTGACTTCAGTCCCTGTACAGCAGGGCTTAGTATTTGCCTTTGTAGTTCCCTCCACACCCTGCCTTGCATGCACTCTAATTCCCTATATACAGTATGTATATGCTGTCATTAAACTCGATGAGGGGAATTTACTAAGACTGGAGCAGGCAAAATCTAGAGCAGCTGTGCATGGTAACCAATCGGCTTCTTGCTTTCATTTTCAAAGCTTAACTAAATAAAATGAAAGAGATAAGCTGATTGGTTACTGTGCACAGCTGTTCCAGATTCTGTCTGCTCCAGTTATAGTAAATTCCCCCCAATGTGCTATATTGCTTGCCACCGATCCATTGATTTCACTCTTGGACACACTAGGCTACATGGTCCAGTGGCAACTTTTCCCAGACACGTCTGCTACCCAACTTGGGGCCCAATCTACAGAACTGCCACCTAGCTTTTGTGGCATTCTGCTCACTCTGCGCCTGTGAGTCTCACGTCACTGCACGTCACTTCCCAGTCAAAGAGTGAGCTCTCTCCTGAAGCAGCCATCTCTAGACACCAACATGATTTATGACCAGAACATGTTCTTTTAAATAAAGTCAGAAATCAAACTTAATTTATTTGTGCTGGAGTCTCAAACGCTGCAAAGAGAACCTACCCTTTTCCCTTTATACCTTATAGAAGTGCTTGTTTTGCCTAGAGCGCTAAAATAACACTCACCCAAACTATGATCCTGGCTGGCTCTTAGACTGGCCTCTCTTCTCCTCCACTCCAGCGAGGGAATGTCCCTCTACGTCCTTACGTCCTATACACTGTATTGGGTATGATGACTCACTGGACCTTAGACCAGTCTAGAAGCCAGGATCGCGGTTTGGATGAATACAACTGTTATTTTAGCTCCCTAGACAAAACAAGCACTTAAAGAAGAACTTTACCCATATCTTCAAAATAACAAAGTCACAAAGAAATGATTAGTAATGACAATCTACAAACAAATACTTCTAGATAATAGCAGGCTTTTTATATTTCTTTTCTTCCCCAGTCTTCTGACAGTGGCCCTTTTAACGAAGGGCAGGTTGCTAGATCTCTCTTTACTTCCTGGAACTCTGGCACATGTGACTAGACATGTGACCATGTGAAAATGCTTTTCCCTGAGATCCCATGAGATTACAGATGAGATTTCCCAGCAATGCCCTGCTGATGTAACCTTCCCAGAATGCAATGCTTGGGCACTATTACATCATTTGTGCAAAAGTAGACCAGGAAGCAGAAAAAAAGAAATTGTAAGTAAAATCACGTTTCGCTAATGAATGTAAGATGATTTCATATTTGCATGCAGAGCTGTATGCTGATGTGATTTTTAGTCAATCGGGGCAAAGGTCCACTTTAACCCTGGCAGTGCAGGGGAAGCCCCACTGCAAGGGTTAAGACCCCTTACAAATATGATTACTATAGGTCAATAAAAATTTCCAATATTACACTTAAATATTGTAGACAACTGATCATCAAGCTTCACATTGAGGATCTGTTGATAGTATACTAACCTAATTATTTGCCGTAGTCCTGCATTCATCTGTTGTTGCTGCAGATTATTTCTAAATGAATAGTAATAGACATTATAAAATAAGTTTATTTTTGTACACAATTTCTATTTTTTTTCTCTTTTTACTTTTTTAAGGCTGGAGAAAGTGAATACAAAGGATTACATCACGTCTCTATCAACTCACTTGATTTCATGTGGATGTAAGTGTTGTTCATTTGAACCTTAATATTCATTCAATGGATTATAGGTAGTACCTAGTGTTTATTTTGCTGATACAATATACCGTGAGACTGGAAATAGGACTTGAGGCCCTTTGAATAGAAGATGTTGTTTTAATGGAAGTAAGGCTTATTTCTCAATTTTTCCGATTCCAACAAACATCACATCATTTAGGGAACCTTAAGAGGAAATGATCAGAACTGGAGCAGACAGAATCTGGAGCAGTTGCCCATGGCAGCCAGTTAGCTTCTATCTTTCATTTTCAAAGCTTAACTGAAAACACTGTAGAGAAAAACTGATTGGTTTCTATGAGCAACTGTTCCAAATTCTGTCTGCTCCGACTTTGATAAATTCCCACCCACTGTCTTTCTCTCAATACAAAATACATTGTCAGATATGTAAACTGTTTGGGGGAAAAGCCACTAATGTCATCTACACCTTTTGATAAAACTTTATAGACAGAAAAAAAGGCCATGTTATAACAAAGTACACATGATGTGATGTATTAAGCCCACTTAAAAAAAAATAATAATAACTATAGTAAATGTGCATGTATTCATTTTTTTAATTGAGGCCAGTAAATCATTGCAACCCTGATCAGTGGATCACAGCTTTAATACTCTGACTCCTGCAGTCTCTGTCCGTACCTCAGTACAGACATGGAATAACATGGACGGGAGGAAGTATGAATGGTCTACAAGTGTGGTGATGTCACTACACTTGTATTCCATTGAGAAGAACAAGTCAATATGAAATAGTGGCAGGTTTAGTTTCTGTCATGCACAGCCATGCCAATTGTAAATATATATAGAATCCTGCAGGGTGAAGAACTCCAGGAATATGGTAAGGGGAGTTTGGGGGTTGGAGGGCTTGTTTATGTGACCATGTTTCATATGTGCGTAACTTAAAACATGGTGGTAAAGAAGAACTCTGGACATAATTATTCTTAAGCCTTTCAGTGGAGCTACCCCCGCACTGCAAGGATTAAGTGCTCGTTTTTGTCTAGGGATGAAAAGATATACGCACTTGAACCTCAGAGCTGGCTAGCTGTTAGACCAGTCCCTGCTGTCTCGCTCACCCCTCTGCTCCAGCTGCCTAAAGTCCTGTGAATCATCACGTCCTATACAGTGTATTAGATGTAAGGATGCTGACGGATGTTCCATCGCTTGCGTGCTTGTAGACTTCGATGCAGGCTTGGGTAGATCTCATTAAGTCCTATTACCGCAACTAGAGATGCACTGATACCGATACTAGTATCGGTGTGGGTGCTGATACCGAGTATTTGGGCGAGTACTCTTACTTGCCCAAATGCTCCTATACTATCCCCCGGCTTCCCGGCCCATCAAGAAACCGGGCAGCGGGTAATTACACACCACCCGGCTTCTTGATTGCCCTGGAAACTGGTTCCATGCTAGCAGAAGTAGCAGTATTGGTACTCGGTATTGGCTAGTACTAAGATATAAATATTGGTACTCGTACTCTATACCGAAAAACCGGTATCGTTGCACCCTAACTACAACTAGAACTAAACTTACTACAATATTTATATATTTACAGCATAGTCATGCAAGTGTGTATTGCTTTGTTTAGTTGTCTCTGTAGTTGTTCTTCTTTAATGGTAATAGTTTGTTTTACTTTATAACAGCACTGTTTGTGACAGAGAAAATCGCCTTCTCACTGGAATCTGCCCCAGACAATATCGCGCATATGCGATCAGATGACCCAGATTTTCACCTGACTCCCAATCTTGATGACTTTTTTTGTCCAGTACTTGACAGTCGACTAGTAAAGGTAAGTAATTGATTCTCTAGTATGAAGTAACAGTAATATAGCCCAGTGGCGTCACAAGGGGCTGTGGCCCGCACAAATGAAGCTCACCTGATCCTTGATCCAGTGGCGGTCAGTGCTTCTCTCCCCCTCCACTCCAACTATTACTATTAGAGACTATAAGCAGCCGTGTCGGTACCTTTACCATTGTCACCATCAGGAAGCCCACACTGAGCAAAGGCTTGCAGTTGCCACCGAAATTCCTGCATGTAGACAAGAAGGCAGCCGAGCCGAAGTGAAGTGAGTCAAACCCCGTTCGGCTATTCACTTCAGCGGTGCACAGCTGATTTCAGCTGTTCATCGGCTGGCTTTGGCTCCCTTCGGTTGAGCCAAACTAGCTCATCATGTTTGACTGAGCCAAAGTGAACAACACGTTCAGCTCAGCCGGTCCAACATCTTGATCGGCTGAGCCGAACGTTCGGCAGTTCACTCACTGATGATCGCCCCTATTCTCATAGGGGCCGAACATCAGTGATTGAATAGCCGAATGTCGATGAGCAGCATTCGGCTCGTTTATTCTGTTTGCTACCTCAGAGGTAGTGAACAGAATTTTAAAAAATTTAAACAAAAGGGGACCCCTGAAAAAGCACCCTCCCAATGCTGAGGGCATGGGGTCTCGTATGGGGCGGGGGGGGGGGGTGCTTGCTCGTCTCCCTCATTTCCTGCCAGGCCAGTGCTCGGATTAAGGGTCTGGTTGGGAATTATAGGGAGGACCCCATTTTTTCACCACTTTTTGGAGGTGGGGTTCCCCCTTAAAATTCCTACCAGACCTAAAAGGCCTGGTATGACTTTTGGGGGAACCCCACACACTTTTTTTTTATTTTTAACTTGGGGGGTTCCTCCATACTTTCCTACCAGACCTAAAGGGTATGGGAATGATTTGTTTACATGTGCGGGGAGAATGGTCTGCTTTGGCAGTCCGTTCTCCCCGCTTCAGCTGATCACTTCAGTTGCCTTCGGCTGCTGTGCGGGCAATTGTGAATAGTCCGTACAGCAGACCTTAGATTCGGCTGAAACGAAGGGCTCTGGCAGTCGAAGTGAGCCGTAGGAGCTATATCCTTTGGCTCCTACCCCATGTGTTCTATATTCTATAGTTTGTCGTAACATACAGTATGTGGCCATCATAAGAAACAAATGATAATTCGGGCTGACCTCCACAATAACTTAATGCCTCTTTTGTGTGGACCAAATTTTGCAACATTAAAGTGGACCTTCAAGGTACCTCACACCAGCAGCCGTGTGGTTGAGCGTGTTGAGGTTGGTGCGTGTGTCAGTGACAATGTGCTCAATCGAGTCCATCGAGTTCAATCTATAGAGATACGGAGAAAAAAAAAAGAAAAAGAAGAAAAGCCTAAACAGAACGGTTTGTCTGGGCCATCCTATGAGGAATGAGTCACTGTGAAAAATCATTCACTTGGGTGTTCAAATTTAAAATTGAGCTATTGATTTATGTTAACAATGGCTTTTTTTTTTTATCAAAGAAGCAGAGAGCCTCCAAAATGTTCAAAAGAGCCTGAAGCTGAAAGTAGAATGCAATATATTAGTATTATGCAATCATTTATATTTACATGACTAAAAATAAAAGAAATCATTATTAGATTATTCTTTTGTACAGATACCCACTATACATTCCTTTTAAACAAACAGAGTGAAAAGAGGTCTGCTTGCATACAGATGTTGAATTAAACCAAGACATTTTCCTAAAGATACTATTTATTGAGATTCTTCATGGTTTCATCAGCACCCATCAGACTGGTAGCTCTGCTGAGCTCCACAGGTTTTTGATAAAAGTTGGGGAAAATGTCAAGCCGTTTTGTTCAGCCTGCAGAAAAATTTTGCCGGTTTACACCAGCATTATTGTCAGTGACACAGTGTATCAATGGATAGAGTGCCATAAAGAGCATCTGAGTGAACTATAGAAGGTTATTTCACATGCCACCCTCCACACTTAGTCATGACAGATGTACTTGTTGTTTGGGGGCAGTGTTTTTCTTTTCTGCCTTTCAGAATTTTATAGTACTTCATATAGCCCCCAGTGTCACAATCACAGTAGAATGAGACAATAAAAAAGATTTCTCTACTATAGGTGCAGAAAAATTTTAACGAACTACATAAAATATGAATTCTTGTGCTTGTTCACAGCCTTCATACTTATGGTAAATCAAACAGATTGGGTCAAAGTGACACATTTTATATGTCCCTAAGGTCAGGCAACAGTAAATATCTGGCTTAGACTAGTTCATTCCCTGGTGAGCAGAGTTTTTCATTTTTAATGTCTGGATCAAAGAGAGATCCAGAAAATGAACTGCTCTGGAAAACATTTTTTGTATGGTTACCTTCTATGATGCTCAAAGAATGACTGCATAGTATATCTACTTTACTTTATTTTATGAGTGCTTCTTAATGCTCTCCTGCTGGAGGGGTTTCCAGGAGCCACTGCGCTATATAAAATATTTAATAGCAAAGCTTATTTGTACTACTCGTTTATACTGTATTATACTGTATTTTATCACCATTAGCAATTTGCATAAATTATACTTTACATTAGTAAAACAACATGATTATACATTTCAAACCAAAGCCCCATTGCTAGTACTGAAATTACTTGATTTTTGTCCCACACTTTTACATTCTTTCTAGATTAAACAAGCATTTGATTTTTTATATGTGGGGGGTAGGCACCCAGATGTAACTGGTTGTTAGCCGATCAGAGTTCAGCTTTAACATAAAACCTATAGTAAATCCTAAAGTGACTTTAGCCATTGGTTATGTAGTTTCTAGACTTTTCTGCACACAGACAGTGATGGCCCAACACTTCTGGAAGCACTACAGTTCCAGGCTCCAGGCTAGTTGGACTTCCTCCGATTTATAATTATATTAATAAAGGCACAAATGTAAGTGTGTCCCTGTTATTTCTTGTACTTCTTCTGCTTTTACCTTTAATTATGGTGCCTATCAGTATAACTCGATCCCCAGCACACACAGGGTTTGCTGCAGGATTAGTGGAGTTACAGATTGGATTAACTTTGCCCATATCTTCAAAATACCAATAAATATGTCTTTAGAAATGTTTAGTAATGGCAATCTACAAAAATATACTTCTAGATAATTGTAGGCTTTTTATTTTTTGCATACCTTTTTTTTCTTTTCTTACCCAGTCTTCTAACAGTGGCCATTTTAACTAAGGGTAGGTTACTAGATCTCCCTTTATTTTATGGAACTCTGGCACATGTGACTAGGACATGTGACCATGCACATCATCTCGGGGGAGGAAAATGCCTTTCCCTGATGTCTCCTGAGATTACAGATGAGATTTCCCAGCAATGCTCTGCTGATTTAACCTCCCCAGGATGCAATTCTTGGGCACATTACATCATTTGTGCCAAAGTGGACCAGGAAGTAGAAAAAAAAAGAAATTGTAAGTAAAATCATGTTTAGCTAATGAATGTAAGAGGATTTCATATCCGCATGCAGAGCTTGTGTGATGAAGTGATTTTTAGTCAAAGGGGGTAAAGGTCCGCTTTAAGGGATGAAGGAAAGGGGGATGGGGGGACATGCCAAAGCTCCAGATTTAGCATTTTAGAGCTATAATTTGCATAGTCAGCACTCTAGGTTTGGGGGTTCCCAATATGCTACTTATGTCAGTTTAACTGTTTTGAAAAAGTGGCAGGTCTCAAAACAAAATACTGTATATTGCAGAATACAAATGCCCTATGCAGCAGCCTGTGTCTTAGATCTTTTAAAGGTCTTGGATCTTAAAGAGGTTACTGGAGTCACCAAAGAAGTCCATACAAAGGCAGTCTGTGCTGGAGGCAGCATACCTTTGGAATGCTTGAATGCTTTAGCTTTTATGTTTGTCTTTTGATATACCTCATGGGGGGACATTTTCTGGGTAACAAACTGTTGAATCAGTACAGTATCAGTGTCTGTGTGTGTGTGTGTGTGTGTGTATATATATATATATATATATATTACAGTGTATATTTCAGG